TCTAAAGAAAGGACTCATCCCTTAAAAAGGAAGAAATAAGAGCCCTGTGTTGATTTCTAGGGAGACCTTTTAGTAAGCGCTTAGTAGCTCACAAAGGAAAACTGACAATACTGGCTCCCTAGTGAGCTTGCCCTTTTAGCTTGACTGCTTGCACACTGACTTCTATCAGCTTCTTGTAACCTTTCCAAAGCTATGTCTGTGTAAGACTAAGAAAAGCATGATTGTTTTTACCTACTCACCAGCTCCTTCACACACATTGTGTAGTATTTTCACCGAAAGGGTTGTTAAGCATTGGAACAGGCTGCGAAGGGAAGGGATTGAGTCACTGTCCCTGGAGGTACTCAGAAGTGCTTGATGTCATGGTTTAGCAGTGGACCTGGCATTGCTAGATTAATGGTTGAACTCGATGATCTTAAAGGTCATTTCTATGGTATTCCAGTATCATAAGGACCCCTACAAGAAAGTCCAGTATCTTAAGGGGGCCTACAAGAAAGCTGGTGAGGGACTTTTTAGGATGTTGGGTAGTGATAGGACTAGAGGGAATGGATTGAAGCTAGAGATGGATCAGCTCAGATTGGACGTTAGGAAGAAGTTCTTCCCCATGAGGGTGGTGAGACACTGGCACAGGTTGCCCAGAGAGGGGGTGGAAGCCCCATCCCTGGGAGTTTTTAAGGCCAGGCTGGATGGGGCTCTGGGCAGCCTGATCTAGTGGGGGATGTCCCTGCCCATGGTGGGGGGGTTGGAACTGGATGATCTTTAAGGTCCCTTCCAACCCTGACAATGCTATGATTCTATGGTGTTCTACCACAGCAAGACTGGTAGGAAGAAAAGTTGCACAAAATTACATTATTGCCTGCCTTAATTCTGTGTGGCTGTAATGAACTACTTTTTGTACCGCATGTAAATCTTCCTCCCAAGGGAAAACTTAGTTTGATTAGCGTGCTGCAACAATTTTATCATTAAATATTCACAGAGATTATTCACTCCCTCATATTGTCACTAAACAGCTTACATCTAAATGCAGAGGATCATCTAGGTCGCGCATTTTGGGGTTGACAGGTCCGTTCAAAAGAAGCACTGAAACTTGGAAACAGTGCTGGACTCGACTGGAAATTGGCAGGTGAGAGTCAGTCATGTGGACAAACTAATAGCAGCTGAATACAAGCAAAGTCTGTGCTTCGTCACTGATGCCTGCTTTACTCCAAAGCATGACCTAGCATTTCTGCAGCCTGTCCTTTACGACATGTCTCATGTGCTGGCAATTACACATCATAGTTTAGGAAGGGATTCCTTCAAAGGTAAGCTAGACAGCAGATCCTGCTGGAAGACATTTTGCGTTGGACTCTCCTTCTAAATTTGCGATGAGTCTTTGGGAAAACCCGGCTTTGATGCACTCATCAGCATATGCACTAGTTTTTCTTCTTTTTATAGAAACACCACCAAATATCACTGCTTTTGTTCCGTAGGTGATAATGATTCACAAATGTGCATACTGTGAGAAGTCTGGTTCCCTGAACTGGTGCTTTCTCCTCTCATACTGAATTCCCAGTGGATGGGGTTCATGTTACTGTCTCTGCTTGTCCAGAAGGAGGTTAGCATTAGAATTGTCTCCCCTAAGCAAGCTCTTCAGGCACCCACCTTAGACTGTCAAGATGTAGGCACTGCTACAAAGTGTCTCATTTCAATTTTCCTACCCACCTACATTGGTGTGAGCCGTCTGGAGGCATCTGTCTCTCCCCACTGACTGGACAGGGAGCCTGGACAACTCCATTAGGACCAGATGCCTCAGTTTTACACTGCTGAAAGTTAGATGTGATAAGTCTCAGGAGACTGCTTGCTGCCCAGAGGTATGCAGGCAGTGTGAAGTCTGTATCATTCTGTAAATGAAATTTACATTCTAGTGAAATATTTTGTCCATAAAAGACAAAAATGTCTACCAAAGACAAAATGGATATGATTAATTACAGGGAGGGCCATGAAAATGTGGATCCAGAAGAAACTGAAAACATAAAACGATAAAGTTTGCTGCCACTTTTCAGGTGTTTGAATGTGTGGTAATACACATACCTTACGGTGAAATTTAGGCAAAGACATATTTATAATTTTTCTCTCAAGAGCCCATTCCCACCATCCAGCTGAACATACAGGCTGCTCTGATCACGTGTTGAACACACACATGTTCCGATCTTGGAGCAAACTTCGGGCTGTGGGTAGCTGATGGAGTTTGTTGGGCTTCCCTGTGAGATAAGTGGTGGTGTATAAGCAAGCAGCTGCTTTCCTGATGCCTGAGAGCACTGATGTGCTGCTGGTTGGTGCTGCTGGGAGAGGTATAGCCCACCTGGGCTCCCTTCTTCCTCCGCACCCCAATATTCTTCCCCTCTTGCTGTGTAGTGAACATTCTGGAGGTCACTTGTCAAGGTTTTGGCAGTTTCTTAAGGACTGAAAGATGCCCACAGAGGAGCTGATGTTGTGTGTGTTCCTTGCTGTGCTCCTGGCATAAACCCTGGTTTAGGAAACACAGAGGGGATGTTCCTGACATGCTGCAGGTATATCATCCACCCCTCACACATGGCTGGGAGCCGAGTGGTATGTCAGACCCCAAAATCTGTCTCACTGTGTCAGGCCACAGTTTCTATCTGCTTGTCTACCAGCCAAATAAATCATTTGCTTTGTGTGCTCCAGAGACTGGCTTGGGATTTGAACCTGTTCCTGTATCTCTCCTTTCATTCTACATATGTCAGGTCACTGCTGCTGTTTGGTTAAATACAGGTTAGCAGGTCTTTGCTGCTGGGTGATGAGGACAGTTTTTCTTCTCTCCTGGGGCAAAGACCTGGATCTCACAGAGCTCCTGAAGAAAAATGTTGGTAAAGTTTTCTGACTCTTGTTTGCTTTCCCTTCATTTTCCAAAGAAAATGACAGATTTGGGAAAATGGGACTGAGCCGGGCTTTAGGTCTGTCTGTTGTGTTCTTTTCCTCTGTGTCTTGAGGAGAGATTGATCATGTTGTGGCACGCGATTTTAGAAAAGCCTTTGTGCCTGAGAGCCATGGACAAACCACAGGGCCTTTTTTTGCTGAAACTAGGTGTGGTTGAACCTCGAATCATAGAATCACAGAATGTCAGGGGTTGGAAGGGACCTCGAAAGATCATCTCATCCAACCCCCCTGCCAGAGCAGGATCACCAAGGGCAGGCACAGGAATGCATCCAGGCGTTCTCATCTATCTTCTTAGCAATCTCTGCTGCATTCTTGGGTGATTTTCTGCACAAGTCTTTGCTTTCCTGAAGGAAAGAATCTGTAACAGAATCTTCTGGTTCCCGCTTTTCTATGCTTGCCTTCATGCACTGTGTGGGGAATGGTCATGTGTAGGAGTCAAGGCCAAGGACTTTTCAAGACCAGTTGGTGGCTAGGTGCCAGGCCATGCTCAGCTGAATGTCACTTTGCCTCAGTGCTTTTCTGAATTTAGTTCCTCTGAATCATAGAATCACAGAATGTTCGGGGTTGGAAGGAACCTTGAAAGATCATCTAGTCCAACCCCGTTGCCAGAGCAGGATCCCCTAGGGCAGCCACACAGGAACACGTCCAGGCGGGTTTTGAAAGTCTCCAGAGAAGGAGACTCCACAACCTCTCTGGGCAGCCTGTGCCAGGGCTCTGTCACCCTCACAGTGAAAGAGTTTTTCCTAATGCTTTTGTGGAACCTCCTATGTTCCAGCTTGCACCTGTTGCCCCTTGTCCTTGCCTCTGGCCTGGATTGATCCCATTTCTCCCAAAGCACTGATGCCAAGATCTCAGCCACTCTCTGTTTCTTTAGTTCCTGGCACTATGAGAGATTGATTCAGCCCCTCAGCACTCAAGTGCCTTTCAGTGGTGCCCTCTCCACTCTCTCTCTTGCTCTCTGCTGACTGCAAAAGGTGCTGAGATGTACAAGACTCCAGATTTAGGTGCTTCTGCCGTCCAGAAGACTCCTGGGATGCTTTCCCCACATCACTGGCTCCGGTGGCAATGGGGTTTTGGCTCTCGCTGTGGCCTCATGCCAAACCTTTCTGTGGAGCTGGGCAGCCTCTCCGCCCTTTCACCGCCCAGCTGCCTCATCTCTCTGGCAGAGCTTGCTGCTCCCACAGCAGGCTGTTCACGTGCCCCTTCCCCGGTCTATCCAGGATGATGGACGAGCCCTTAAAGGCAGCTTTAAGTGAAACAGAAACGCAAAACAGCCATAACCAGGAACGCCTGTTAGGCAGGATCTGTGTCATGACACCGGGAGGTAAATGGATTTCCCACAACGCTCCTAAATCCAAACAAGGACACTCTCAAGGCCAGCTTTGGAGCTGTTACTTTCGGTGACCAAACATTTTTTCTTCTTTCTTTTGGCGAAGTATCTGCTTGTTGAAAATTTCTGTTTTGTTAAACCTGTGTTCATGCTCTGCATCATGCATGAGTCCCGCTTCTCTGCCAGCCCCACCAGGATCCCTGCGCTGGGCATGTCAGGCCCCTCTCAGTTGGCAGAGACACTTTATAGCATGCCACAAAAAACCCTTTCCCTTTCTTCAAACTGAATCAAACCCTTTCTCCTCGCTTGGAAGAAAGCCGTTTAATTTATTTGGAAGAGACTTTTTGTCTCTATTTCCAGGAAGGGCAGGAACAGAAGCAAGTTAACAAAAAGGCAAGGGCGGGTTACAAAAACCCATAGAGCAGACCTCCTTCACCAGCATCCTTGAGATGCCCACCGGGGTGTCCTTTTTAGCTTCCCTGATCCCGCAGAAGACCTGTCAGTATCCCTGGGCACCCCGTGTCTCACAGCCTGCTGCCTGGCATCGTCCCTTCGGGAGATCTGGCGCCGTTTCCAACCAGACTGTCATTTCCAGGTCAGTCTCCGCATTTCTGCTGACCACGTTGCCTCCATCATGAGATCATGTCTTTCCAGAGAAATCCCACTAATGCCTTCATTCTGCGAGACCGGTATATATAGGGGGAGCTTTCCTGGGGCTGCACTGCGCAGTCCAGCCAAGGCATCGCTGTCTTCCCAGCGACTGCACTCCTTCACTGCTCTCCCCTTGCAAACACAGGTCGCAAGCAGCCGCAAGCATGGACATTACCATCCAGCATCCCTGGTTCAAGCGTGCTCTGGGACCCCTCATTCCAAGCCGTTTGTTCGACCAGTTTTTCGGAGAGGGTCTCTTCGAGTACGATCTCCTGCCTTTGTTCTCTTCCACTATCAGCCCCTACTACAGGCAGTCCCTCTTCCGCAGCGTGCTGGAGTCGGGCATTTCAGAGGTAAGGGCCCTTTGGCTTCCTCTTCTTTTCCTTCCTCTCCTCCTTACGTCTCCGCCGGCTCCTCCCCACCCGTGGCTCACCAGCGGGGACTGGTGGCTGTAGCCTTGCGCTGGGGTGCGAGGGAGCGAGGAGGACCTCCAGCCCACCGCCAAGCACAGCCCCTTCTTGGGCATGGAGGGAAACCCTCACTGGGTAGAAAGCTTCCCTTCAAGAAACGGAATCCATTTTGGCCCTAATGGTTGTTTCCAATGCGTGAAAAGGCTGCTTTGGCTGCCCTTGTGCCCGCCAGCCCGTACGGCGAGGGAAGAGCTAGGCTGCTCCCGGCGTAAGCACCTGCAAAGGCAGCTCGGCACAGGAGAGGACCCCTGTGAGCAGGAGGTTTCTCTGGTCCTCTCTGCCTCAGGACCTTGGTGGTTTTCACAAGCCCTTGCTGGAGGACCCAGGAGCAATTCTCTGAAGGGAGCATGTAGGAAGAGGGGGTAGCTGTGGGGACTGTGGTCCCCAGGTCAGGGATCAACGCTTTCTCTAGTCATCTCTTGCTGGTTTCCTCCCAGAGCTAAGATCGCAGGGAAACCATAAATCACTGAAAGGATGAAACGTGCTGTCAGAGAGTATTGCACTGGTTTCCTTCCCCTCTCGCTGCTGAGTACAAATGCCTGGTGCATCTGGCAGATTGGTGGGTGCAAAGGGCACAAGAATAGCGGCGAGAAGTAACGCCTCTCTCCAGAGGAATGACCCAGATACCTACCATGGCGTCCTAGTCTCTCCCTACAATGGGAAGAAGACCCCTGCTGAGGCCCATAGTCACAGAAGGAGAAACTGTGCTGCTGTCAGACCACCCCTTCTCTGGCTCTTAAGCTGCCGTGACACCGGCGCTGCTTCTGCACATAATGCTCGGGGACACTTAGAGCTCACATCTTACTGTCTAACAATGTTTTTTTCAGGTGAGGTCTGACCGGGACAAGTTTACAATCATGCTGGATGTAAAACACTTCTCTCCTGAAGACCTGAGTGTGAAGATTATCGATGACTTTGTGGAAATCCATGGCAAGCACAGCGAAAGACAGGTAAGTGGAAGTGACGGTGATGGTGGAGCTACTAGGGAGTCGAGCTCCGGTTTCTTTCTTTCCAACGGTCCTCAGCAGAAGGAAAAAAAAAGAATATGTCAGAAGAAAAAGTTATTTATCGATTGTCATTATTGGCATAGCCTGTTACCACAGAGCCCCCACCTGATATCTGATAATAACGAGCTAATCCACTCCTCTTTTGTTTATTTTCAATCATCATCTTCCATAACCGTCAGATGACAATGTCCATTGTTCACTAATAACACTGGACCAGACAAAGAACATCATCTGGCGCTGCCGAAGCATGGCTGGGTTTTCATAAGCCAGAATCGTTAGTGAAAACAGAGTTTTGATATGCTGATCTAGGAGAGAAAAGCAAAAGCAAACAAAACAAAAGAAAAACAACCAAGTGCCTCAGGCTTGGAAACTTTTAACACGTATGTCATGGAAATATCTGTGGGGCTAGAAAAGTGAATTATACCAGCAGGGGTTTAATTCTTCTCATACACTTTTTTGGCCAGACAAAGCTCTAGCCTGGAGACCGTATGCATATTTTAATATAGTTATTTTTTCCAGAGGAAAAGACCAGCCATTTTCACAGCTGAGTTTAGAAAAAAAAAAAAAAAAGCATTTCTCATTCTTTTGGCCAAAAAAAAGGGGTCAGGATTGTGTACTTTGGCTGACACAGTGTTGCTCTCTGGTAAGGAAATACACAGGTGCACACAGGCGCATTGCTTTTACCTTTGCGGAACCACAGACTTTGTCTCCAAGCATCCTCTGAAATCAGAAGGCCCCCGTCCAAACCCGATCCCAACCTATGATATGGCCAGAATTACACCCTGCTCCTCTGCTGGGCTCATGCAGCTTCAGGGACATCGTGGAGGAGACATCTGCCCCTACAAACCTATAGAACAGAATAAAAAGCAGAGAGGCGCCTGGTGATACTGGTGGCACAGTGTCACGACGAGCCAGGGCGAACGTGGACCCTGTTCCAACAGAGCCGCAGGGTTGGGTGGAGGGGGGCACAGCGTGATGCTGGCGG